AGCTGAGAGAACCGAACGCCTTGCCTTGCCTTAATAATCTAATTTCTAACAACTGACGGCAAATCAATAAATGAAGTGGAAAATGGAAACATCATCATCTTGTTTTTCCTGTGGGGAAAAAGAGATGGAAACAGAGACGGAGACAGAGAGGGAATTGGCTACCTTGACCTCATTCAACGACCTTTTTCTTCTCCTCTCTAGTTGCTGCAAGATGAGAGGGGAAATATATATAGATTTTCCCGAGGGAGGAAAATGTGAGCACTGCTTGCGTGCTAAGCTTCTTCCTCTTTTCAATTTCCCTCGCTGTAGGCGTGTGTGCTTAGTTGGCTTGTATTATATCATCATTAAACGGTTTACCGCCAAAAAAAAAAAAACGAAGAAAAGGAAAGGAGATGAAAGAAAATAAATAAAATCAAGGAAAAACCATAGAATGGCAACAATCGAGGCAAATACAAAAAGTTCTTGAACTCTCTTCCACTTGTCAATTGTTGAAACAAATAAAGAAATAAACTTGTTTAAAAAATGGGCCGCAAAATAATCAAGCAAATACGAAAAAATATACAAAAACTAGGGGAGATAGAAAAACAAAAGAATTAGTTCAAGGAAATTAAATAAAGCTAATGTTTTGTACAGCTTTTGGGTTACAATAAATTGTAATAAGTTTAAATTAAATTATTTCTTATTAGAAGAGTTATGAAAATAATTGAAATATAAAAGTAAATAAAAACTTGTTATGTAAAAAAATATATTTCAATTGAAATTAGGTAATATATATGAAAATATATAGTATTAAGTTAAATTACGGCTAAATAATTAAATATCTATGTACATTTAATTTTCAGAAATAGAGCAAGAAGGAAATATTGCATTAAATAATTAATGAATAAATTTATAAACAGATAAAATTATAAATAAATTAAGAAAACAGTATTTTATTGAATATTTAACTATTTCTTATTAAAAATGTGCAGGAAAAAATTGTAATGCATTAAAAATAGTTGCTTTTAATTTTAAAACTATATATCTATCGAAATTGGGTAAATATATATATGAATATATATAGTAATATATATAAATATAAAAAAAGAATAGACATTTGGTAGAAAACATTGAATAATTAATGAATTCAAACAAACCAAGCAATACTTAATAATGAAGTTAATTATTCAATTAATTTTCAACTTGTTTTAGATACTTTCTACAAAGTTATAAAATAATTTATATTTTTTCCAGTGTATCAAGATTGCTAAAATAAGAAGAAGAAGCATCCCAAGAATGTTCATTACAGAATGTTGTGCCCAAGAACATAAGCAAATTTTTGGAAAATGTTTGAAGCCACAAAACCAGAAACAAATACAAAATGTACTTGAAATTTAAAAATCCTTTCAAGGACAGCTTTACTTTAAGTTAAGAAGTGGTTATATTTATGTCAAGAAATGCTTTTATTTAAGTCAATAAAGAACCTTTAATATAAATTTTACTATGAATTACCAAACTAAAACAGACTCAACATTGCATTTATCAAAAACACTTCTTGGATTATATTTTGTTGTATTTGTGTCTTAATATCAGTATTAATGATTAATTAAGCTACAAAATCCCACATATCTGGTATTACCATATTCTTATTTATTATTTGTAAGACACGTACATATGTATGTACATACATATATTGTGGTATATATTCCGTATATTTTTTTTCAATCATTATCTTTCTGTGCATTCTTCGGGTATGATTAATGATCGTTCGTGTAGATCTTTCTTTTCTGCTTTTTTTCCTTCTGGCTCTTTGACAAATGTAATTTAAGCGAATTAATAATAAATTCGTGTAAACATTGTCGATGTTCTTCTTCCCCATGAGTATTCAATGACGTAAACATTTGAATAAACTCAAAGATTTGTCACAAGATTGTGTCATTGAGGAATACTATAAATCCACAATAATCATGATTATATTATATGTCGAAATTTCAAAATTAAATGTTCAATTCACGTAACTTTGCTCTTCTTGAAACCCAATTTCCTCGTTTGGGGATCGAAAGAAATACCATCTAGGTATCCAGAATAAGCTAAAAACCAAAGAGTGAAAACATATAGATAGATGTACATATGTACAACACAAACAGGGCAGAATAGAATAAACAAAAGCCAACAGTTTTTAAAGTAAACAAAAAATATAAAACGGCAATAACAGAGCAAAATGATATTGTACGCGCGCGTAGCTGATATAAAAACCTAAAATCGAGGGGAAAGAATGTGTGATTCGACCCTCGGCGACGACAGAAAAAAAGAAAAGAAATATAATTCGAAAAAATATATAGTATGTATCGGGGAAAAAGAGGGGAAAAGGGGGGAGGGAATGGTTTTGTGCACTATGCAAATGACCTGCCCCACAATGGGGCATCGTCCCACTCGGCACTCGGTTTCCGCCCTCGTTACCACCCCCTCCTCTGCTCCCTCCCCCCTCTTCTCTCTTGGGTAGCATTTAATTTGCAATTATTCAGGCCTTTGACCAATTTATTAGAGAGGGAGAGAGAAAGAGAAAGAGAGAGAGAGAGGGAAAGAGAGAGAGGGTCCCAGGGCAAGCAAAAAAAAATAAACATAGAGAAAACCAAGAGAAGAAACTTGTCTCAAACACACTCACACACACACTTGATGAAATAAACGAAATAATTATTTCTCTCTCTGTCTATGTACGCACAGAGAGAGAGAGAGAAAGAGAGAGTTTTATGCAATAGAATTTACCCTTTAAATTGTTTAAAGAAAGTGTTTTCATAAAGACTTGTTAGCAAAACTATTGATTAAATAATATTATAAAAAAAAGTTGAATATATTGAAATATTTATGGAGTTAAGGGAAATTTAATATAATGATGATATGATAAATATAATTTAAAAATCATTAAATATATTATTGAAATAATTTGTATTTGTATTTGATAGAATTCTTTGCAAAAACACTCAATTTATAATAAATATCATTTAAAAAGAATTAACAATATATATATAATTTCGAAAATATTTAATTATTTATGGAGTTTGTGGAATTTTAAATAAACATAGCATTCAATTTATGCTAAATATCATTTAAAAGGCTTTAACAATATATTAACTAGTTCAAATATTGACTTAAATATGGAGTGTAGGGAAATTTTTACCAAAAACGGCTCTCAATTTATAATAAAAATCATTAAAATAGTATTAAAAATAATATAATATATTATTCAAATAATTATGTAGTTTATCGAATTTCTATCAAAATCAGCATTCCGTTTATAAGTATCATTTATATAGCACTCAAAATGCATTGAATGTTGAAAATATTGTAAAGGCAAAATTGTTTATTTATTTAATAATAAAAATATTAATATATTTATGGATTTTAGGTAATTTTTAGCAAAAACAAGCACCCAATTTATAATAAATATCATTTAATTAGCTTTGAAAATTCATAATAAATATCAATAAAATAGCATTAAGAAATACATATAATATTCAAATAATTATAAAGGTTATGGAATTTTAAATTTTTAGAATAATAAATTTTATGAATATTAAAAATTTAAATAAGGTTTAAGGTACTACTAAATATTTGTATCAATTAAAATGTTTATAATTCGTCCTTAACAAAAAAAAAAATTGCTCAATTTATAATATATTTTTAAATAGGATAAGAAAACTATATTTAAATTATTGAAAATAATGATATAAATATGGAGTTTATTAAATGGCTCAATTTCTACAGAAATATTTAAATAAGAATGCTTTAATATTATTTAATAGTTTTATCAATGAAAATATATGATATTTAATTACTATAATATTTTACTAATTCATACAATTCAAAGCAACTTTTAATACAGTTTTTTTAAGGTTTAAAGTAAATACCCCAAACTTTATTGGAGAAAACATTGAAATAGCATAAAAAATATATATTATTTAATTATTATTTATTTTAAGTAATATTGGATACTTTAAAACCTTCCAAAAAATATTAAAGATTACAAATATTATTATACATTTTTATCAATGAAAGTGTATAAACATATTTTTTGTTTCTTAAAATTTTGCAGCAACTTTTGTAAAAAACTTTCTTGAAGACTATAAATAAAAAAAATAACCTAAAACGTGAGTGGAGAAAACAGTTCAATTTGTTGCCCCTGTGTGTTGTTATTGTTTTTTGTTGTTGTATTATTGTTATTATTATTATTATTATTGTTGCTCATTGACATGGATTCTTCGAGTTTAATTGGAAGTGAACTGTAAATGTCGAATTATCAGAGACACGAGATCTTTGCACCGACTTCTCTTCATTTTTCTGAAGTTGATGATTCTGTGTACTTCACTTTTGTTTTGTATTTTCATGAGTTTCCTTTTGTTTTTTGAGTTTTTGTGTCATTTTTTCTTAGCTCTTTTCCCTTCCAACATTTGTGTTTGATTTGATTTTTGGTCTCTTAATTGAAAATTGCTTTTAGGTCTCTCAGGTTACGTGACTATTTGCATGTTGCAACAATTCATTCATTGTCCCTCCATTCACACCCTGCCTAAATAAAGTTTTCAGTTTTGAATTATGAAAAAATACCCCAACAAAAAAAAAAGGGAGGGAAAATAATAATAATAAATTACTCGAGGTTTTAATGCTTGCTGTTATTGTTGTTAAATTGCAAAGTCATTTTTTCGGTGCATCACAAAACTCAATTAGAGAGGCGGACGGGCTTCCATTGCACTTGCAAGTTTTTCATTTTTTGTTGTTCATGATTTTTCTTTTCTTTTCTTATTATTTAAATTTTTTTTGTGAGAAGTTTTGGGCCATGAACTAAAACTTTTGGTGCGGAAAAGGGGCGAAGGGCGGCTGGTTAAACTTAAGATTTAAGATTTCCATTTGACTTGAAAACATGACTCTTGGTTTCTTAAAGATTGTTTAAAGTAAAGAAAAAGAAGTACAGCATAAACATTTCCCTTATTTATAAACAATAATAGAAAAAGAGGTTCTTAAATTACCTTATTTATGCAACTGGAATTGTCCTATATCCAATGATTTTATTTCAACTTTTGCAACTGCAAGTCAAGCTGAAAATAGACAAGATAAAGATAAAATAGATTAATTAAATTGCTTCAATTTATAAATATTATAAACCTTAAATTAATTAACAAATTCCTGAAAATATTCATGGAAATGCTATGAATTTTTATATTGATTGAAGGACTGGTCTGTATTATTATCAATTAATTAAATTAATTTACAAATTGCAAGGAATATTTATGGAAATCTTATAAATCTTGTACTGATTTAAAGACTGGTCTTAAAAGTCTTATTATCAGATCACTTGGGTATCAACCAATTGAAGGAACCCCTTTTATAGAACCCTCAACTTATCCCTGTACTTATCATATCAGTTACGAGTCCTGAAAGTAATCCCTTAACTGCCTTCCATTCATCTTCCAGGCCAGGTTTTGACAAAACGTGATGGATGGTCTTTTGTGACTCTCCAAGGATTATTTTTGACCGATGTAGTAATCCGAAAAGTGTTCAATTCTAATTCTAATGGGATCTGTGCAGAAGGGAGGACATGTTCCGGGGTTGATTTTGCTAATCAAACTGATTGGATTTGGTTTTTATGCAATTATCTTGGCCGTTTTGGGATCTTGTTAGATTTGGTAGGATGGATTTTACAGAAGGTTTTTCAGAAAGGGTTGCCAACCGGGGGTTGTTATATATGTATATGGTCTTAATTCTCCAAAATACCCAAGACAAGTGTTTCCCATTGAAGTAATAAATATTTTTCTGATTATTGGAAATTAAAATACCAGTAAATTAGAAAACATATTTAAGGTGTTTTAATCTATCGCTAAAGCCTTGTCTCAAGTGTTTACTGTACGGGGAAAGCAAAAACAATGGAAGGCATACCATATTTGTAGGGGTGTGTGTATATATTTAATTTTATAATGAAGGCTCCAAGTGCATACTCATGTTAAAAATAGCAGAGGTCTGGGTCTGGGTCTGGTCTCCTGGAAAGTACCCACAACCACACCCAACCCCACACTCACCACCACCCCCTGAATCACTTTCAGCACCAGATTGCATCCACTTTAAAATCCATTTATGAATGAGAAACAACAAAGGGTGGCGGTGGCGCATTGGACCTTTTGGGTTTTCTAGCCTTCTGGGGGTTCTTTCCTTCTTTTTTTTTGTTTTTGGACAGAGGGTTGCTTTTTGGGTGATCCCCGCAGGGGGGTTGGGGGGTTGGGTGGACTTTTCCCTGCCCTGCTCATTTCATGCATGCAACTGGGAGTGGAAATCCCACCGAGCTGAGAACCTTCATAATGAGTATTCAAAATGCAATTCACAGACGACAGAAACTGGGGGGGTGGGTGGTAGAAACATGACTATGGGGATAATGGAGGGCGGGATAATGGGGTTGGGTTGGATTGATGGGGGGTGTGGTGGTGAACAGGAAGAGGGTTGCATATGTGTCGCACAGGGGTTGCAGCAAACCATATGCATAATTCCAAGGATTTATGCACAGCAGCAAAAAAAAAAATTAATATATATTATTAATATTTATTGTTTAATATTTACAAATATATTGTTTAAATATATATTTATTTACAATTTTAAAATTTTGTTTTCTCTTTTAATTAATTTACTACTTTTTAGTAGAAAAGAAAACTTGATCCCTATGTCCGTTTGTCCGTTTGTCCGTCGGTCTATTTGTTTGATTTTCCGTTTATCCGCTTATCTGTTTGTCCTTCTGCCCGTTTGTCCGCTTATCCATGTGTCTGTTTGTCTATTTGTTCGTTTGTCTGATTGTTTGTCCTCTTTATCCGTTTGTCCTTTATAACTCTTGTCCGTTTGTTCGTTTTGTCCTCTTGTCCGTTTGTCCTGCTGTCCGTCTATCTGTTTGTCCGCTTATCCGTTTGTCTGTTTGTCCGTTTGTCCGTTTGTCTGTTTGTCCGTTTGTCCGTCTGTTTCTGTCCGCTTACCGTTTGCCCGTCTCTACCTTTGTCCGCTTATCCATTTGTCTCTAAACACTTTTTGCTGGCTTACTGAGAACATATTAGAAATTAATAAAGAAAAATGTTATACCTTTATGGGTATAAGAAATTATTACTCCATTTAATTTATCACTTTTTTCTCTCTGTGCAAATTTAGCCCACTCAACCCACTCTTGACTGTCTTATTCGGATATTTATTTATTTATTTATTTTTTTTGTATTATTTAGATTTTTAATTTGGTACAGTTTCAGTTTCAACTGTGAAGACAAACACCGCGGGGCATTGGTAAATTGGATATAGCTCTCGATCCCTTTCGCACACTCTCACTCTCTCTCTCTCTCTCTGTCTGGCCTGCCTGTCGCTCTCTCTTTCACTTGCATTCGCTTGACTGCTGCAGTTCAATGCAATCTGTTCAGAGAGATAGAGAGAGATAGGGGGAGGGAGTGTGAAGAGAGCTAAAGTTTAAACTGTAGAAAATGGATAGAGAGAAGATGGAAATTGTTGCAATGAGAAAAGTTATTATTTAGTTGTATTTTTTAACCTTTACATTTAAATAAAGCTAAAGAAACTAAATTTATAAGTTAAAAAATGTACAAGGTATGTGTGCAATTTTTTAATATTTAGTTACATCAATCATATAATTTATTTATTGTAAAAAATAATGTATTTACAAATTCATGACAATTTATATTCCCCTAAAGTTCAATTGATTCCATCTTTCATTCCCATTACAAAATATATCTTGGTTTTAATTCACGATAAAACCGTTCAAAACATATGCATTTTCTTAATTTCCGGAAAGATTACACTTACATGTAATCAACGGAGATAGACTCAGATTTTTCTTATCAGAACTATAAGATGCAACGAAAGTTCGAGATGTAACTTAAAGGAAAACAAGTTAATTTAAGTTTAACGATTATTAACCAAGAAATGTTTCATTTATATTTGAATTTTAGATATTTCACTGTATTTCTTTCAGCCCTGGCTTCCTTTTTTTGTAACCTTTTTGGGCTTTTTTTTTTGTTTTTGTTATTACACAAGGGGAAGACCCAACAAAATAAAGGGGGCGGGAGGGGCAGAGTGAGAAAGAGAGAGAGGCAGAGGGAGAAGGAGACAGTTCAAGGACCAGGCCACAAAACAGGCCGCAAAACGCATCGCAAACCGGCTTAAGTTTCAGCATTAAAATCAAGTCAGTGCCAAGTCATGGAAACACTGAGGAAAATTGGGCTTTTGAGGATCAAAAAAAGAAGCTTTTAAAATAAAAAAAAAATGTTCTATATACTTTGGAGGGGTCGTAGAAAAAACCTTGCTATAAAGGTGTTATTATCCTGAGATATTGTAAAATAAAATGTAAATATTATAAAAGTCAAAAGTAAATATTTTCAGGTAATATTATATCAAATATTAATTAGAAAAGTTTAAATTACTTTCATTTAAAAATGTGTTAACAGTTGTAATACTGAATATTATGAAATTAGTATTTATATAAGATTTTATTTTCTTATTTAAGATTATTAACTATTTCATATAATGTAAACTTTTACAATACGTATCGAATTTATTACTACATATTACTTTTTTATTATTTACCAATATAATAAATTAGAATTTAGACAAAGAACCTTTAAATTCTTGTTTATTTCATTTGAATTTCAAAACCTATTGAAAGTAAGCTTCCTATTTTCTTCAAGTGCACACAAAATACACACACACATACACACATCGCTGCAATATTGTATAAAGGAGAAGATGAAGAAGAAGCAGGAGCTGCAACTTCAAGGCTCCTTGACTTGCCATTGTTGTTGTTTCTCTTTCTGTTGTTGTTGTTGTTGTTGTTATTGTTGTTGTTGTTGTTATCTGTCGCATCCTCCGCAGAAGTCGTTACATTGTGAAAATAGAGAGAAACGGGATGGGGAAGAGCATGAGAGCGAGATGGAGCGACAGAGAATGGATGCGGAGAAAGGATGCTAGATAGGGAGAGAAGATGGGGTGCCCTGCAGAAGAAACGGAAATTGCACACATAAAGTCAAGAGAGTCTCCCTTTCGACCACTTCACTCGCTTTCTCTCTCACACAAGCCTATATCTTTCTCGCTCCATCTCTTTTCCACTCACTCTCTCTCTCTCTCTCTCTCTCTCTCTCTCTCTCCCTCTCTCTGTAGGCAGCTTGCATCCTTAAAGCCAAGTTCAAATCAACACTTGAAGAATTTAGGGGTTATAAAATAATATTAATTTTATAAATAATCAGAAAGGAAACTAACTTTAGGAAGGTGAAGTTTTTATACAGTTTGCAATTTAGTTATATAATTAAATTGAAAAAAATTATAACTAGGCTTAAAATTGTCGCATTCCCTTAAATCGATATTTATCGATATTTTAATATTACCAATTTTTGAGAAATTAAAATTGAAAAACTCATCAATAAGCGAAGAAAATATCGATTTTAATTTAAAAACCTTTCCTATATTGATTCGCAATAGGTTTTGTATTATAATACCCTGCAAGGTTAATAAAGAAATAGATCAAATATTGCTTTATTTTGCGCCTTCTTATTGAAAACACTTGAATTTTTAAAAAGGTTACCTACATATAATATATTTTAAAATGATTCTATTAATTTTCCAATAAATCTACTACATTTTTATCGCAATCCATCATATCTCTATAACCAGGTACCTGAAATCAAATCAAATAAAATGAATCAACCAGACCAGTTGAATATAAAAAAAAACACTCTCTGATAATGGTGCCTTGCCCTCATTTTGGTTACAATATTACCCATTTAACTGATAATTATACAATTTGATAAGATTACAGGTAAAGAGGTTCTTCCCCTACCAAATAGAGCTGACATTTATATTTGTCTCAGTGTATCGCGAGGGATTCCCTTGCTTTATTGCAATAGATGCGAATGCAATTGGCAAAAGCTTTTATCTATTGATTCATTTAAACGCAATTTCCTGTGCACTTCAAGGAACGCACTGGCAAAGGCAAAGGAAACTTGGGGTGCTGCAGGGAAGTGGAAGGAAATCAAGTTATCTGTGCGATGCAATCCTCACAGAATGAATGCAA